GGGGCATGTTCTTCTCTTTTTAGTACACTCTTCATTGCGTCATGTCTCCTCCTGTTTGTTTTAGCACTGGTTCAAATCTTCGCCGAAGGAATCATCATATTCAGGCTCATTTTTTTAAATGTAGATTTTTGTGGAACGGTTTTAGTGTAAATTGCTTTTAGTGACATGTCAGGTAGGTGTTCAGGTAGGTGTTTTTATCTGCCCTGACAAAACGGGATGACATTTCTTAAACTTAAAGAGTAGGAACAATGAAGAATGCTAAATTATTTTCCTTTGATCAGTTTCAAATTAACTTTTAATCCTGCTAGAGATATTTTAGATGGTCCCTGTTGTTCTGTTCTCTTTAATGTCGATTTGTCTTTGAAAATTGCTCTGCAACTGAGTATGTGGGATAAACATACAATTCTCTATTTGCATTGAAACTCAAACCCTTCGTTTTTATGATGCGTTGGAATTCATTAGAATACCATTTGTATGTGTTGATATATTTTTCAAAATTTGTCTTACTTTTCCTACAATTTTTTATTTTTATTCTATGGGGTAATGTTCTTGCTCCGATCCTTGTTCAGTTCAGCAGGTTTTTTTTCTTCTTCTTATTCTCTTGATTTTCATGTCCTTGAAATGACTTTTTTGACTATGAATTTGTTTACAGCTTTTGTATCCTGATTGTGTGCCTGCATTTGTTTTGCTATAATATTACGTTATGTCTCTTACATCTACTGAAACTCACGAAGGTTTTTGATGTTGTATCAGATTTGTGTCTTGTGTGGAAATCTCTGTGAAATGGGAATTCTATTTTTGACTCTCAGTGTAGTTGTTCTTACTTTTCCTTATCTTTGTGTGTGTGGACGCATGTGTCCGTCCGTGCCTGTGATCTTGCGTGTGATCGTGCGTGCGTGTCTGTGTGCGTTCCTGAGTGCGTTCATGAGTGCACGTGTGTATGAGTGATATTGAGAAAGAACGGTGCTGTTTTCTTCGTTTAATAATTTCTGCAGAAGTTTCAACCTCAGCGAAAGGTATGGTGTTGAAAAAGATCCTACGTTATGTTGAATTTTTGTATTGTGTTCAGTTAAACACGGTGTGTGTGAAATACTACACGCCTTAATAAGTTCTGTATGTCATGATGAATGAACTGGTTTTATTCGAGAAGATATGTAGTGTTTGTTTGTCTGTATTGAAAAGGCTGCGGATGGGACGGGGGGGGGGGGGGGGGGGTGTGAGGGTGGAAATGAGGGAGGGTGGGGGATAAGGAATGAGGGAGAAGACAGAATCACGATACTGACTGACGAACGAAAAATCAAAAAGGTTCGCAAAGGACAAAGAACAGAGTGAGGAGGGAGAAAGGGCAAAGGTTTTCCAGCACAACACTGACCAGTTCTTTCATATCCCCCCTCTGTGCATATTTAGGCGAAGTGCTTTTGGTTTATCAGTACTCTGTGCTCATGGAAAACCTCTAAAATATTTGGGTAATCAATGTTATGTCCCATCAACTAGGAAACTATTTTGATTTCTTTTCGATATTAAATTCTAACTTTACAAACTTAGGAACGGCAGCTTTAAATTAAATACTTGTAGTATCATGGAAGAACCTTTACGACACAGTATCTGTTCGGAGAAGTCTCCGGCGGAGATAGACCAATCAAAATGCTTTGTGCCTCTGGACCAAGCAAGAAAATACGGGGCCCATCCTGTTTTTAACCCATAATTTGGTATATTGCAGTTAGGTTTGAAATTTTCTTGAAAATAATTTATTGATTTGCGACAGTTTTAGTAGCTAGATCTATATGTGTGATCTGCAGTAAACAATACGCAGTTTGACCGCCAAAGCAATGCATCTGTATGCGGGAGGACGTCTCCGAAAAGTTCCTGGGTGCTCGCCGGAGACGTCTCCGAATATTTTCTGCACCCTCCCCTCCCTTTATGACAAGCCCAGAACGGAGTGAGTGACATTCTGTTTTGAATCGTCCACTGACAATCAAGCACCCCCCCCCCACCCCCCACCCCCTCACACACACAGCCCTCTTTTTGAGGCACTGGTTGACTCTTTCCCAAACACGACTTAGGTTCATAGTGGTCAACAAATCAAACAGAGAGAACTACTTGTCTAGCCAAGGAGATGATGGAGTTAACATTATCCTTACTTTTATAATGAAGTTAACTTAATGATAGAGTTAACATTATCCTAACTTTTATGACAGAGCTATTAGTTAAAATTATCTTAACCTCTACGAGAGAGTTATTAGTTAGCATTATCTTAACTTCTATTATGGAGGTAACAGTTAACATTATCTTAACCTCTACGAAAGAGTTATTAGTTTACATTAACTTAACTTCTATGATAGAGCTAACATTAGACAATCCTGGACAACTTTTCAACAGCATACCCTCACCCCCCAAAAAAACCCAACAAACAACAACAACAAACAAACAGACCCCTTACCAACCTCTATTCCGTGATATAATATTACTCTACAAATGTAAGATAAAAAAAACAATAATTAAATTATAGTTATGAGGTGGGATGTTGGTCAAAGTGAGGGGAAAATGCACTGGTTTTGCGTGTGTATGTGTGTGTATGTGTATGTCTGAGTATGTGTATGAGTGTGTGTATGTGTGTGTGTGTATGTGTGTGTACGTGTGTGTGTATGTGTGTGTATGTGTGTG